ATGGGCAATAACCGTTTTTTTTGTTACCTTTCTAATCATCATTCTCTTTTCGTTAAGATCACAAACACACACTCACACATGCTTCTTCTTTTTTTGGCAAAATGACAAAGCTTACTTTGCTTTTTATTCAGCTAGTCCCCCCCCCCCGGTATCTTAGCGGCAAATCTGAAGGTTAATGACGCTACAAATCGGGTTTTGATACCCGCTATTTGGCAGAGTATAGATAGCTTATTGTGAAACAGTACGCTTAACAACAAAATATATATTTAATTTGCTTTCATTGGATAATTATGTAGCCTTGAAACTTAACGTTCGAAAATTTCTAGTTCAGTGAAATGAAAATTTGGAATTTAAATTTAACAAATAACTTAAATACATTGTTCAAAAATAAGCTATATGAAATCTTCGTAATTTTTTCAATAATGGAATTACTTATATGAATGGGTTTCGATAGCCGTGGTGAGCAGAGTACAGATAGCCCATTGCGTAGCTTTGTGTTCAACTAACTACAAACAAACATATTCCAAAAACATTGTAAGAAACAGAAACTTGAAGATAGAAAGAAATTTGGCAGAAATTTTCGTAAGGAATACGAAAATTCTCGCCTTCTCGATACTAAATTTAATAGAAATATTTCTTTTGATCATCGTCTTTTATTTAATCGTTTTCTTTTACTACTCCTGTTTAGTAAAACTGTTATATCATACAAGTTTTATCTGTTTATATGGATATTTGAGAAGTTTTTAAATAGATTTTTCGTCTTTCAAGAATTTCATTAGACATATCCTCTAGTTTATATTAGGAGTACAGTTAAGAGTCTTTAAAAATGCAAAATTATCATAGCATTTACAGTGTTTCTTTTTAATATTGTAAATATTGTAAATGTAGTGTTGTTTAAATTTTGTAATCGAGTTCACAGATTTTCAAATCAATTATTGTGGTTAAAAATGATCGAATTTATAATTTTAAGCATTTGCTTATCAAACTCCTTAAGACATTTACAGTTGAGATAGTGCATTTTGATGTTAGAAAAACAAATACTGAAACTTTAGTCTTTCGTTAGCAAACATCTTATATGTATTTAAATATATCAAACTCTGGATACCATCGTCTATATTCGTTGTACGTTTAGTTCATTTAATAGCCCTACTGAAGGTTAAAATGTCTTATAATCAATACACCCAACAGGATCTTCCATAATTAGTAGGTTCAATATAGGCTTAATGACAGACCATGGTCTTTCATGTTCCGTCCATTCTACAAGTTTCAGTGGCGCTCCATGAGCTTTCAGACAATGATTTAAAAATACTCTACTCATTCGTTATCATTTTTTTCCACAGCTTAAAGAGTAACAACTAAGACGTTCACCAATTATTGAAAATGACTCATCTATTGGAAGAGTGGCATGAACCACACAATATATTGTCACGAACACATCTTTCCGACATGGTAGATGCAACAGGATTTGGAGAGTTCAAGAGAAGGCTTAATGACTACATACAAAATTAGAGCTTAATATAGGCATTTGGGCGATTGATGAAATGAATGGGACAGCCACAGTGGGCCCTTTCTTGCCCCTCAAGTGTTAGGTTATGTTGAAAATATAGTTAGTTGTTTACATTATAGTGAAAGATTGTTTTTGTACCAAAACTAACAGCAGATACAAAATCACGTTTAGAAATAAAACAACGTGTTAGGTTAGTGAAGGAACAAGCTGAATAGATGTTTAGATCTCGTCGATTGTAATGAACAATAGCGCCATTTTTTTTTTGAGGATTCAACGATTACTATAGCTATATAGATGATCACAAAATTTTACATGACAATCAGTTTATACTTAGAGCTCTAACGTATAGTGAATGGATGTAAAAACTAGGTTGTATCTAATATAAACGTGTGTTTTTTTTTTCAGGTGACACATACTACAAATGCAGCGAGATCAATATTGGCACAAACTTTTGGAAGCATAACAAATGAATACGACATTGAAAAGTCGATTGTATTCTGAAACATTCTAATGTTTGTTTGTTTCTTTCTTTGAAGTTAAGCACAAAGCTACACAATGGGCTATCTGTGCTCTGCCCATCACGGGTATCAAACCCGGATTCTAGCGCTGTAAATCCGCAGACATACCGCTGTGCTACTGGGGGGCTACATTCTAATGAGTCGTACAAATGTAATATTAATATTTTGCTTCATAGCGTGTTCATTATACTGAGAAATCTTGTGCTATCAGAAATTAGATGAATCCAAAATAAAGATCTAGGTAACCCGAGCGATACCGGAAAGTCTACTTTCCGAGAGTGCTTGTTTTTTTATTTATTTATATTTTATTTTACAGTATATGCACTGTACATTTTGGTTTATTTTCCGCTTTTTAAACTCAATTTAAAAGTAAAACATGTACTCAAAACTTTCTTTTACCATATTTTATAGATAATTTATACTCATCACTTTCCTTAGTTCGTTGAAACTCAGTCGATTTTCTGTTATCATATTGACCTCAGAGGTCACTCAAACAAGTGATAATTTGTGACATAGCCATCGCCTGGTTGTGAGCTGTTGAGCTATGTTTTAACATAATGTCTTTTCGAAATTAATCACACACAGTCATCGAAATTCTCAAAGTACGTAACTGACCAGAAACACTCATATTCAGTTAATGCATAAGACTTTTTCTTTGTTTGTAGCTAATGCATAAATATTACATATATATAGAAAGTATCCTGAGGAACTGTGATAAAGTGTGATATCAGTTTTCGCACATATCGTGGCGTTCAGTAAGTTATTCAATAAACGCGAACGATTGCATGGCAAGATTGATAACCAAGAAAAAATATTTATGATTCACCATATACAAGAAGTCCATTTGAGTGCTCAACCTCCGTGTTTCTTTTCTTCTTACATTGACATTTGTTTATTTTGGTTTTAAATATTGCAGGTTGTTGAGCAAATATACTAGTAAAAGTTGTATCTTGATTTAAACTCAGAATTTGTTTCAGTTTGGAGATTTGGAATTTTGTTGTTTAATTTCAAATGTTAAAATCTCTTTCGGTTTTAATTCTTTCCTTGATTTTTATAGCGTATATTTTACCAAGATATTCAAATATATAGTTAATGCGTTTTTAAATAAAATATCATAATTAATTTGATATTTGTAGTTAAAAAATAATTTTGAAATGACATAGACTTTTTCTTATTATTTTAGGTTATAGAAACTAGTTCGTCGTGTTAAAAAAACCATGATGACAAAGATACATTTTCGAGAATACGAGGCTTCCCAAGACTTATTCAAAACTGTGCGAATAGGAGTGACATTAATGCTAGCCACCTGTGGCGTCCTCTGTTTAGAGCGTAGTATAATACCGTCTGAAAACACCGAAGTTCGGACTACCAAAGGCTTAGTGCGAGGAGTAACCGCACGAACAGCTACTGGAAAATTTGTAGATGTATATTGGGGAATTCCATATGCGAAACCTCCGGTAGGGGAATACAGGTTTCGTCACCCCAAACCAATAGACCCCTGGACTGGTGTCTTCAGCGCTACTGAAAAACCCAATAGTTGTTATCAAATTAGTGATACGTTTTTCGGGAACTTTTCTGGCTCAAAAATGTGGAATCCTAACACCCCTTTAAATGAGAATTGTTTGCATTTGAATGTCTGGGTTCCCCGACCCCGACCGAAAAATGCTGCAGTTTTGGTATGGATTTTTGGTGGTGGATTTTATAGTGGAACTACAACTTTGAACGTTTACGATGCTAAAATATTTGCTTCGGAGGAAAACGTTATTGTTGTTTCAATGAATTATCGAGTAGCGTCACTAGGATTTCTGTACTTCGGCCGACCCGACTCTCCGGGAAACGCTGGTTTGTATGATCAGTTAATGGCTTTAGAGTGGGTGCGAGATAACATTGCTTCATTTGGTGGCAACCCACAAAACGTAACGT